TATGAAAGGGTTGAAAATAGAAGTTCAGATATAAGAATTATAGAGTTAAAAATGAGAGACAAATATTTATCTATTTTTAAAAAATAATAATTAATTTAAAATAAATTTAAAATTAAAAATAATAAGTATTTTATAATAAAAAAAGAGATTCTAATATTAAAAACATATCTTATGCTTACCATTATTATTTTACAATCGGTAGAACTAATTGCGAAAAAGAATTCTCTTTCTTTTTATGAGTTTTTGAGATGAAAAATGAATATTCACAATGGAGCCGTTGAGTTGAGTTGTCATTTTTACGTGCTGCCACCTGGCAGTCAGCAGGAGAAGTCCTCCTCTCATCTGATGAGAAACGAAGTCGTTTTCAATAGACAAACCACCTGGACTGAATTGAATTAGTAGAGCCCATTTTAGGTAAGTCTTTGGGCCTAGGTCTGATATTTGGGCTGCTCTTTAAATTTTTTTTGGGTCCATATTCTCTGCTTTGGGTTTAGTTTTTGAACACATAAATGTCATTGTTATGGCGAGCCCAAATTCTCTCCTCTGTTTCTGCAGTTCTGCTCTTTTCTGCCGGAGAGGTAAGCTGCGATGATTCCTGAACCGCCGTCGACGGTGAAGCTTTCATTTTTTTTTTTCCCCTTTACTATTACTCCATCTCCGCCATACCCATGTTCAATCTCTTTACCAACCTTCTGCTTTGGCCTCTGTTTCAGCATTCGAACATCCAGCGTCATCTAAGCAATCTTTTTCTCAGCCTTTTTTTCTCAGAGGATCGTGAAACTTCCCCTTGTTGCTTTTATCTTTTGGTGACCCATGTCTGTGTACTTGCTAATTCTTCTTTCTCGGAACAGAGAATATCAAAATGGAACTTGAGTAACAAGCGTTGTACTGATGATGGAAAGGGTTTTTGGGTTCTGTTGCGCTTTCTATCTACAAGATTTTTTTTATCTTTGAGGTTTTGATATTTGAAATCCTAGTTGTTTAGTTTTGTCTTTGTCATTATTTTTCTTTTTTCTTGACATTTTTTATATACGATATTAGTGCTTTTATCAAGCAGGTAATTCACGCTTAAATTAGAGAATTCACGATGGATTTCCTCCTCGTAGGTCCTGTAACTTATTTATTTATTTGATAATTTTACCATTGGTTTTTGCATTTTAGTTACCCCATGATGAAGTTGACTTATGATATATTAAGAGTTTTAAAATCTATATTATAGATGATTTTACTTGGTATCTGTGAATTCTGCCAGTTTACTCTAATTTACCTTAAATTTATCCATTAATTGTAAGCTCAACATTATATACAGAAATTAAACAGTAAAATTTCATTATTAATTTACACAAAATAATATAATGAAGAACCATGCATGAACTAGTACACCTTCTATATGTGTGTTGTTATTTGCTTGACCACCAAGGTTCTTGCCCTATTAATAGTGACTAGGCACAGATAAACATGCTCTTCAAGCTCTTCTATTTGCTTCCTAAGACCACTGCTGCTCTTCTTCAGCTCCTTCACCACCTGCAAAGCAATTTTATCCTCCCTTCTTTCCAAGCATATCTGTATCATGGCTTTGTTATGGTCAACCTCATTGTGCAGCCTTGCTACCAGCCTGCTTATTGTATCGAAATCTCTATTCAGAATATAAGTGCCTTTTGCCGCCACATCAAGCTGCTCCCTGATCTTCTGAAGGAAATCACTTTTCAGATATGGAAAGCTGAAGAGTTTCTTCTTGAAGCTCTTTAAAGGGAAGCTGAAAATCATGGGTGCCATGAGCAACGCTGCAAGGGTATGTGCTGCCATTACAATAGCTGTCAGTGTAACCAATCCACATACTGCCATTATGCATATCCCTGATGCCTTGTGCACACAGTTGATCAGCTCGATCTTTTTGACCACTTTTTTTCTCTTTGATTTTAGATGGTTCAAGACAGAGGAGTACTTATCATGAATTAGCTTGAAATCCTGTTTGTTAGGTATAGAAACTGGATTATTCAGCATGATAAATGAGTTTAACTCTGAGATGATTGATGATTCAACCTTGTCAGGAGAATGGTAATCATCAAATGCATCGAGTGCACGTTGAATGAACTGGTAATTGTACTGGATTTGGCTGATATCTTTAAGGAGGTGACTGCAGATTTTTGAAGCTTCTGCACTTATGTCAAAGTAATTGAGCATCAAGGCTTTGAGTCCAGGTACCTTTGAGAAGATTGCCGATTCAAGAATTGAAGGAATGGTGTCCTGATCAGGCTCAAGGAGGGTTTCCGAGAACTTGGGAGGGTAGCAGCTGTATGATGGAGAGGATCGTTCATTAACCAGCAACTGAGCTTTGGTGAAAAAATCTGCATAGGATTTGGTTCTTAATGCACTCAGGTACTCTTCATTAACATTCAAGCTTTTGCATTCTTTCAATTCTTTTCCACCTGAAGAACAAAAGATGAACACTTATTACAAAACGAACAACAAAAACAAGGACAAAAACATGTATATATGATTCTCATGAGAACATGTAATAATACGAACATACCTCTTGTAATCTTTGAAACTCTAAACTTTGCCCACATCTGGATTGCCCTTGACTTATTCATTGAATAAATTAAACTTGGGGGTTGATAACGGCTAGCAAAAGAGACACAAGTGCTTAATTTCAAGGAGAAATCTAAACAGAAATAGATTGAATTTCCCTTTTGCTTTGGTTTCCCTAGAAGATATAGTGGCTTACAAGGAAGAATAACAAGAGGGCTATATTAATGAAGAGCAATGCAACTCTTCTCCCTTGGAATTGATCATGTATCTTGGCCTATATATATATATAAAGCCTCTAAAAGAACAAATTTAAAGAATGGTAGTTCACGCTATCGTTTTGATAACTCTAGGATATTAGATAGATAGAGAGGCAATTTAATTACTTCTCCAATTTATTTGCAAGCTTTACCGCTAAATTTGGTGAATTGGGCTTCTTGGGGACCTCTAATGCATATGGTAGCCTTCTTTTCTCCCCTTTTTTCAGTTTGCTAATGCATGCTTTCTTTGTCGTTATGTTTGTTACTTAGTTTACTTTTGTAAGCTTGCGCCTTCCATTTTTGGTATATGCATATACAAGAATTATCATCAATATCATGATATATTCATGGAGGGTTGCAATGATCTTGCTCTTGAAGCATATCATGTTATGATTAATCCTTGATATCCAAAAGTGTCCAACATATCCTTCTTTTTTTTTTTGATCAGCCAAATAAGTCCAACATATCCTTCTTGAATTGCACTTTCTTGAAATTTGTTATTTGCTTAACTTCTACAATTCTTTTGATTTTGAGAATCAAAGAATCCAAACTGAATTTTAGCTTCTTTAATAAGCTTGTAGAGTCTGACATATAAAACTTTGATATTTTTGATAATATTTAAATCTTTAATTTAACTATTTTTATAAATACGTACAAATTGCTACATTAACATGCATCAAGATAGAGGAGATTGTAGAGGACAAAGTTTGATCTTGCGTTTCTCATGCTTAAGCTATTGAACCGATCGTGAAGCTATACGAGACTGCTCGGTTAAAATACTAGCTACCATATATATGTACCTGCCAAGAATGTCAAATTAATAAATATATCATTTAATTTCTTTAAAATGTATATAGGTTAGAAAGATACAAGCTATATCAAACAAGAATATCTTTTTATATTATTGTTTTTAATTATATCAAACAAATTACCATACAATTAGGATTAAAGTATTTTATCGAATTGTTTACACTCAAATGATAATAAAAAAATTTAAACTCGTTTTGCTAGCATGATTTACATCATTTTTGCCACTTAGTCAATCCTAATAATTTATAGTTTCTCACAGTTAATAATCCCAACATAGTCGCTGAGTCACACATTTGATAAGCTAAACTACCCTTGCACGTGCTAAACTATAAAGACATGAGGATAATTTTTGTGTGTGTTATTTGTATACCTTTTATTTTTCAATTAAAGATCATATGAATTGGGTGATCAAATCTTACAGAAGAATATATGCATGGGTGCAGTTGTTTACGCATATATATATATATATATGACTGCCGGCGAAACTGCTTTTCTAACAACCACATGTTTTTAATTTGCTGTCCAACAACAACAACAAATGTGTTTCAATTTTCAAGGGTTAAATTAATTAACATATGATCAAAATTCATATTTAAAATAATAATATTATATAGATACACGTAAATAACAGAAAAAAAAAATCAAAATAGCAGTTTACCAAAAAAACCTACCAAAAAACATACAAGCTAAAATAATTTTTTTAATACATATTTTAAATGATGAATTATATAAAAAATAATTTTCACATTTTTTTTATAGATTTCTCTTACCTATCTTAAAGTTTAAACTTAATATATTTATTTTAAAGTTTTAAACCCTTAATTATTTTGTACACATCTTTTGATAGGCCAAGTTAAGATACATTTACTTATACTCAACCAAAAAGCTTTTACTAGTTTTATTATTATGGTAAGGCTTCTGCAAAAAGAAATGGAAGGTGGTAGTGTAAGCTGAAATTTCTCTGGAAATAATAATAAAAAAGGGTAGGATTTGTGTATCTATAAGTAGTTGTAACGTCTAAGAATATTTATGTGTGATGGATGTATGTACGTATAAATATATTGAATAATATTGTATTTATATATAAACGTCAATCTTTGCCTGGGACGAATGGCTCGTTTCGATCTAAAGGTATTGGAGCTAGAGCTGTTCACATCTGTAATTGATGTGTTCGAGTCCCATGAAACCCATCTTCCCCCTCCCCCATATATACCTGTAAATAATGTCAAAATTGTTAAAAAAAAAAAAAATTCGTTGCCTGGGGCACCGCACATGGATCATGCGGATGCGGACCTAGAAAGGTGATAATGCACGTTACTCTAGTCCAATATATTGGACCCCTTCTTGAAAAAGGAAGCCATAAAATGTGTATCCAAATTGAATGATTTGATTCTGAATACCTAATTTAGAGAGCTATTTAGATTACTTGAAGTTTTTGTTTTTTTTTTTAAGAAAAAAAGAATTAATTTAGAAAAAATTTCGGCTGAATCTCACTTTCTATTTTAAAAAATTTTGGTTTGGTTCAATTAATTTGATTAACCACTTTTTAAAAAATTAATCGAAGTAACAAAGCTCTTTTCAATTGGTTTAGAACCTGTTAGTAACGTTGTTGTTAGCTTCTTTTTTTATTTTTTTGGTAAAAAATTGCATTTTTACTAAATTAAAAATAAAAAGTTTACCACTTTAAAAATATTTAACTTTGATTATCAGTATTAAAATTTTATCAATGATTTGTTGATTCAAGTGGAAGAAATTCAATTCCATTTAAGTAAAATCTCAAGTTCGAGTTTTATGAATAAAGAAACAAACACTGGTAGAGTTTCCCTCAAATGAAGTCCGATGCGATTCGATTCTGAATTAGCGGGATCCAATGTAATTATCGAATATCAAAAAGTTATTACAAAAAAAAATCAGTATTAAAATTTCACACTTACAAGTTGTTAATTCTCATTTTCAATTTAATTTTATTTCTTAATTTTAATTATTTAAAATTTGAAAATAAAAACATACTTAAACCTG